TTGGCTTATTGATTATCTCTTTTGAATGGTACGTAGATGTTGTTTATGACTATGTGTCTTTTGATGACCAGTTTGTTAGAGTACCAGGCTTCCAGGAATTCTCTAGTGATTTTGGACTTGACTTGGTTCAGAATAATCACATTTTCCAGTTGAAACTATGGTTAAGTCTGTCCATGTGTTGTGAAATTAAAAAGTTTTCATTATGTCTTTTGACTGCTAGCTTGTATTCATGGTTGTGTTCTGCTAATCTTCTGCCTGTTTGTCCTACATAATGTCTGTTGTAGACTGAATATTGTAGATGACTCCTGTTTTTTCTTTTGAGGCTGCTGTATCTTTTGATTTACTCAGGATGTTTTAGAGAGCTTTAGTTGGTTTGTGTGGTCCATTAAACCCATGTGGTTGTAATATTCCCTCAGTGCCCGAGAATCTGACAGCCCACTCCACTAGAAGTGCTTTTACTTCTGCCGCCTGGACTACCCAGGCATCTCTTGAGGAAATCTGCAGGACAACTACCTGGGTGTCCTCTTCGCTGCTTATATGGCACTATTGCCTGGATTCCTTTGCTTCTGCTGAAGCTATATTTGGACAGAGGGTACTACAGAAGGTTGTCCCACAGTCGGAGTAAGTGGACCAGATGATGGCCCTCCCGTGGACATGCAGGCATTGGTATGTCCCATTCCTGGACTCTCAGCGCAGCATGGATGAGAATGGGTGTTCGTATAATTAGCAGAGAATGCCCTTTCTATCTACATTGCAAAAGTCCAGTCCCACCCTTATGCGTTTGGTCTTGGTGGTGGTGGGGTGAATTTATTTTCGCGACATGTTACGTCTGTCAAGCATCTTCGCCTAAAAGCTGGGGAGCCAACCAGGGGCTGGCTTTTTATATAGTGGCAGACTCAGCTCTATGACATTAGAGGGAGGAGTCATATCCCATTCCTGGGCTCTCTTACAGCATAGATATAAAGGGCGTTCTCAGATAATTATACCAACGCCCTTATCTCCACATCATGAAAGCAACCAATCCACCTCATCTCGATAGGCAGACTCATCCCCCCCCAAAGATGAGTCCCATCACTGTTGTATCATCTGCAAATTTGGCAATAGTATTACTAGCATGAGTGGGAATGCAGTCATGTACATAAAGAGTATAGAGTAAGGGACTCAACACATAACACTGTGGTGTACCAGTGTTAAGAATAAGGTTGAAGAGATAATTACCTAATATGACCCTCTGAGAGCGTCCAGACAGGAAATCCATAATCTAAAGACAGATTAAATAAAAAAGTCCAAGATCCATAAGTTTAGACACTAGTCCATGTGGAAGTATTGTGTTAAATGAGAGCTAAAATCTACAAAAAGCATCCTCAAGTAGGAAGGTGTTCCAAATGAATCAGAGCAGCGTGAAGAGTGATGGCTATAGCATCCTCTGTAGATGTATTTCTTCTGTATGTAAACTGTTGTTTATCAAATGTATGTGGAAGACCAGAAATGATGTGCTGACAGACCAAATTTTCAAAGCACTTCATGATGATAGGAGTGAGTGCCACTTGTTTGTAATTGTTGAAGTTATTGATGGGAAACTTCTTTGGTAGCAGAACAATGGTGGAAGCCTTCAAACAAGATGGAATAGTGGACTGGGATGAAGACTGATTGAAGATACTGGTAAAGACTCCAGCCAACTGATCAGCACAGTCTTTAAGCACTCACCCAGAGATACCATCAGGACTGTCAGCCTTTCTAGGGTCCACAGCTCTCAGAATGCTCCTCACCTCCTGTTCCTTTACAATGAAGTGGAGGCTACACTGGGCTGGTGACTGTATTTTAGCTGTCTCTGATGTCTCCACTTCAAAGCAAGCAAAGAAATTATTCAGCTCCTCTGCCAATGAAGCATTCCCCTCAGCAGAGATGACATTGGTTGGTTGATGGTTGGTAATTTGTTGAATCCCTTGCCACACCTGCCTCAAGTTATTACTATAAAAATTATCCTCAATCTTAGTCTTGGCCTTCCGAATACCTTTCTTCAGACTAGGTCTGGCAATACTATATCTTGCCTCACCACCGTACCAAAAGGCCTTGGTCCTGTCATGCAAGAGGCTCTGGACTTCCTTGGTCATCCAGGACTTCTGATTGGGATAGATCCTAATATGTTTATCCACAGTGATAGTATCTGTTCAGTGTTTGATATAGCGCAGAACAGCTGCAGTGTGCTCCTCTACATCGAAGTGTTTATTGGGCAGAGAGGCATCTCCACTCCATCAAGGCAGAGCATATTTCGGGATTGACCAACATACAACCAGGCTGGTTGAGCACAGCCACTATCAACCATTCCGAGTGGCACCTGCACCTGAGCCTCTTCCAGGAGATGTCGGATCAGTTCGACCAGCCAATCCTGGATCTCTTTGCCTCGCCATTAAAGAACCAACTGCCAAGATTCTATTCGAGGCTCCCAGCTCAGGGAATGGAGGGAATCAATGCTCAATGCTGCCCTTGGCCCAGGAGCCACCTCTACGTCTTCCCTCCCCTTCCTTTAATACCCAAGGTAATCAAGAAGTTGTTAGGGGAGAGGGCAGAAATACTGCTTCTGGCTCTGTACTGGCCAAGACGCCCGTGGTTTGCGGGCCTGATCAGCCTTTCAATTGCCAACCCATGGATGATTCCTCTGGACAGGGTCTCCCTCAGCCAGGGCCCCATAGAACATCCGGAGCTGCAGTGGCTCCAATGGCCATCTGGCACTTGAGCGGAGACTTCTGAAAGGTGAGGAATTCTCCAACAAGGTTATCGAGACTATCCAGGCTGCTGGATGTCTGTCCACTAATCACATCTATAACACCACTTGGAAGAACGTCTGCAAGTGGTGTGACAGGACTAAAATAGACCCCACCTCAGCATTGATGGCGAACGTACTGGACTTTCTCCAGAAGAGGTTGGACAGAGGGCTGCCCCCGAATATTCTTTGTAGGCAGGTGGCGGCTCTAGCTTCAGTTCTCCTGCAGGAATCTAGAGTCTCTCACACATCATCGAGAGTATGCAGTTTCCTCTGAGGGGCCACTAATTTAAAACCTCCTGTGGTCTATAGACACCCCACCTGGGACCTTAACAAGGTTCTCAAGGTGCTTACCAAACCATAATTTGAACCCTTAAGAAATACCAGCCTCCACCTCCTTACTTACAAGGGGATTTTCCTTGTAGCAATCACCTCAGCAAGGAGGATATCAGAGTTGGCTGCCCTGTCATGGGGGAAGATCTATGCATCTTCCACTCTGACAGGGTGGTTTTATGGTTAGACCTGGCCGCTATCCCCAAAGTCAATTCCTTTTTCCATTGTGCACAGCAATTAGTTCTACCCAACTTCTGTCCAAGGCCAGCACATGCTTTGGAGAGACAGTGGCATTCTTTAGACATGCAAAGGGCCCTCCGCATTTATATCAGCAGAACTGCTCCTAACAGGAAGACGGAGGCCTTCTTTGTCTCATTCCAACCATCCACGTTGGGCAGAAAAGTCACAGCTTCGACGGTGGGCAGATGGCTTCGGGTGACGATTGCAAAGTTGTATGAACTGCAGACCTTACCGGTGCCCAGAGAAATCATGGCATACTCCATCAGGAGTGTGGCCACATCAGCGGCTTGGGCGACACAAGCCTCCATAGAAGAAATTCGTAGAGCGGTGACCTGGTCGTCACTGTCGCCCTTTATCAGACATTAGAGACTGGACACCTTTGCCTCAGCAGAGGCTACTTTTGGCAGCCATGTCCTGCAGCAAATTAATACAGTGACAGAGACTCCAAACCAGACAGAGACTCTCCTGTAGGACACGCCAGCTTGGGTATGTCCCTCGTCCGGATGCTCAGAACAGCATACTGGAATAAGAGCGTTGGTTCTTACCTGATGCACCCATTCTCTGGGTGCTGTGATGAGCATCCATCTCCACCCAGATGACAATCTGGGTCTGGGTCTGGTACTGATCAAGAACTGAAAGAGCAATGGTGAACTGAACAAACAATTATGTAACCTACCACTTCGACTTCAGGAAAACTGGGGGCAAGTATCAAGGAGGTGGGTCAGAACTTTGCTCAGCCTATCGAGCAGCAAGACAGAAACATTACCCTCATCTGGATGCTCATCACAGCACCCAGAGAATGGACATATCAGGTAAGAACCAATGCCCTTTCTAATTTGGAACCTAAAGGAACAAGCTAAGAGATCAAAATAACCCACAGAAGAGCATGCAAGGCAAGTTCCTCTCCCCAGGATGTGTTGGATCAAAGGCTTGAAAATCATAATAGTCATTTACAGCCAAATCAAATTCACTCTACAAATCCAAAACAACAAATAGAGGAAAATCCAGAAATGCTGTCATATTCTTTCTCAGGCAGCTTTTAAACTGTGAAAGGCTATTGGTTCACTTGAAAAAGATTGACTGACTCTCATCCAGGAGAGACTGAACATATCCTTCTTTGTTTCAAACATATGTTCCAATCCAGCTCCTGAGTCAGTCAACTTTCTAAAGTTATTTCACATCATGGGTTTTCTCCCCAGCATCCTCTCTCAAAACTTCCCAGATAAGAGAATTTTTAAACAGACAGTCCTAGTTATTAGTGCTCAAACCAACATGAAATTAAACCAATTAAAAATAGATCCCTTAATTGGTTGGCTAAGAAACTATTTTTCAACCTAAAAAATACCTGGCACTGAGCACAATATGATATTGTGATAACATGTCCTGGGTATGAAATAATAGTAAAGACTTTATCTGTTGCAGATATTTTTCATGTGCTTCTTAACTGCAAATTATATTGTAGGAAATATAAAAATTCTGTAAAAAATACTGAATGGCATTTTTAAAATCCAATAGCACTATTGGAATTTGTATCTTTGATGAAAGTTACTTTGGGCTAAGAAACAACAAATGAATTCAGACAGGAAGAAAGAAATTTAAGTCTTTTTTTCAGTTCTATTGAAAATCTTGTTCTAGAGAATTATTTGTTCTACTTTTATTATAGTGCTGGACCCAAGGGAGACAACATTTATGAATGGAGGTCAACTATTCTTGGACCTTCAGGTTCTGTATATGAAGGAGGAGTTTTTTTTCTTGATATCACCTTCTCTTCAGATTATCCATTTAAACCACCAAAGGTAAGAGGGAAAAGTAAAATTAACATGGTTGTCATATCTAATTACATAGAAATTATTGGGTTTAAGTTAATTATAAATAACTTGCTTCATAAATTTCAATTAGACTAAATCATTAGTAATTTAATATGGATCACACTTTGTCAATACTTTACAAACTACATTAATATAATTTAGGGAAAACAACTGTAACTCCAAGTTCCTTTTTTTTGTAGAAACCAGACAATTCTCTTATTATAATTTCTAAAAATAGGAACATTTCCCACTATTTTGAGTCAGCACATATTATAATAAACATGATGTTAATCTAAAAACTTGAATATCACTGTTTATGATAAATAAAATTGCCCCATGTTTCCTTCTTTTGGCATGTTTTATAAACCATAATGAAAGTTTTATACTTGATTTGTCTGAGATAGGGAGCCATTTATCACACATAATGTCTTCAAATTTTAGTTACTATTACAATAATTCATGGACTTCAGTAGATACTAATCACTTTCAGATTTTATCTAATTATGTTTAAACTCCCCCTCCCCCTCCCACATGGATTGATTAGTTACTTGATATTTGATGAAAGCATTATTTTGTCTTTATTTAGTTGCATTGACTTTCTGCCCTTCTCTCTCTCTCTCTCTCTCTCTCTCTCTCTCTCTCCCTCCCTCCCTCCATCTCCCTCTCCATATGCACAAACTCAGAAAACCTTTTAGTTCCTTTTTTCCCACTCACATTGTTTTTTGTTCATTTTTTTCACTTATTTTTTTCTTCATATATTTTTATCAAAATTGGATAAATTTTGATTTTTCAAAGTTATCACAGCCTATGCACTGAAAATATGACTAATATATAAAATATAACCCTTTTCCAGGTTACATTTCGGACAAGAATTTATCATTGTAATATTAACAGCCAAGGAGTGATTTGCTTGGACATTTTAAAAGACAACTGGAGCCCAGCATTAACAATATCCAAAGTCCTTCTCTCCATCTGTTCACTTCTTACAGACTGCAATCCTGGTAAGACAAAATATGTTGTAATTTAGCTTTATGATGGCTGTAGGATTATTTTTTGTTTCTAACTTTAAAAAGTGAAAGTAGCTCTCTAAACCTAATTGATCAAGAAATACCATATTAAAATAACTTATAGTATTTAGTTACATGAATTAACAGAATTTGTTGCATTCCACTATTTAATATCCAAGAATATATTTTCATAACTTACTAGCAGAAATAACTAATTAGAAATAAATACATAAGGTATTTGAGAAAAACATACTGTAGCAGCCCTGAACGTGGTCACCTGAGACCACCCTATTTTTGGAAATCCAGGCTGTCTAAGGAATGATTGCCAGCCGTGGTGGAGGCTTCCCTTCAGGCAATCCTCCTCTTTCCCCTCCTTCTCCTCTCGCAACCACCTGGCCAGCTATGGTGGGGCCAGGAAGGTGCGCAACTGCCAGGAGACCTTCCTTAAGCAAGAAGCTACCTGCCTCGCGTGCACCTTTGCTACGCTTTGGCTGGGCCCGGCCGCTCGCTTGAGGAGGATTTCCCCATGCGTGAAAACACCCTCCCGGCCCTGCCACAGCCAGCCAGGGGGTCACGAGAAGAGAAGTAGGGGAAGGGGGAGGAGAGTCGCCCGAAGGGAAGCCTCTGCCGCAGCTGGCGATTGTTTCTCAGCCAGCTTGGATTTCCAAAAAGAAGGTCTCAGGTGACCATGTTCAGGGCTGCATAGAGGAATTCATTCAATACCTGATGGACAAAGTTGCTTGGATTCATTCCCAGTTGGTGCAGATCTATGCAAGATGCCTGGGGAAAGGTATTTTCTGGTTATCTGGGAACAACTGTTGAACCTGATGAAATGGACACGGTCCTCAATGCAGTCAGTCCAACAATCTGTCAATTAAACCCTTATCTCTCCTGATTAGCAAAAGACTCCAGGGTCATGGTTGCCAAGTGGATTCAAGTAATGATAAACTCTTTACTGCAGGAGGATGTTCCCAGGACTTTTAAGGAGGGCATGGTTTGTCCTTCCTCAAAAAAACCATCCCCTGATTCTATCTGACAATTTTCATCCAGTTTCCCACCTTCCCTTATCCAGAAGGGAGGTCATGTTACAAGTTTTGTTGTCCAGTCAGCCATGTTTGGTTGTCCTTTCTTGACTGTCTTTTCTGCTATGGTGCCAGCACTGTGAAATCTTATCCCCTAAGATGAGGTTGGTTCTATTACGAATCTTTCAGATTAACATGTTACTATGTCCTTAGAAATAGGTGAGTATTTTTATGTCTCTTCTATTATTCTTGTTTTAGATCAGCTTTTTTTAGTATTTTAATGTATTTATAAACTGTTTTAGCTCAGCGCCAATGTCTGTAAGATGGTTCGGCAATATAAATTGGTTTCATTAGTTAATTAATCAATCTTAAACTGAATTTGAATTTTGGGTCAGAATTAGCTTGAAATATGAAAAGTGGTTGACTGTTATTTTCTTTGCAGCTGATCCCCTGGTTGGAAGTATTGCTACTCAATATATGACAAATAGAGCGGAGCATGACAGAATGGCCAGGCAGTGGACCAAGAGATATGCAACATAGGAAACTGCTGAAGAACATGCTGGACCTTACAAGCACATTCACTAAGTGCATCCATAACCCTCCAGTTTGATTTTTATTAATTTTTATTAAATTTTGAAATATTTTGTGATAGGGTTGATTATACTTCTCCTTTCCCTTTTATTATTTTATTTTATTTTTCTGCTGAACTTGAAAAGTGCATCTTTTTAATACGTATACCTTTTTAATCCGGTAACTCAAATACAGATACGGAATTTGGTTACAGTGCAAGGAATGTTGAATCTATAATAGTATAGAACAGTGGACCCCAATCTGTCCAACTGTATGGACCAGCAATGTGGGGGGGGGGAAGAGGGGATGGTTTTGTATGTCTGCACATTGCTTGTACAAATGCAGCTGTAGGTGCTCACACACTTACGCAGCCTGGTTCCCAACAAGCCACAGGTCAGCAGCAGTCTTGGGGTCGGGGACCCCTTGTGTAGAGCTTTGTCACAAAGCTTTATAGTAATGTACTTTTTCTTTTGTGTGTTTGAGAAAAGCAAGCACACTCAGAACTACATATTGTTTCTACTTAAGTGTAGTATTTAGATTTTTTTATTGAAGTCTTTAAGGGTAGATGCATGTTACTGGGAACAGGTTTTCTATAAAAAGCATAAAATCAAGAACCACTGTGGATTATTAAGACTATGTTTTAACACAAAGCTACTGGTTGAACCACAGATATGTATATCTTATATATAAAAAGTTTCTGAGGGTCCTGCCACTTTTGATTACAGATTAGTTGATATAAACTTGTATTAATAAAACACTCAATAAAAACACTGTGACTAATAATATGCAGTTTCTGCTCCACATGGAATAGAGTAAATTGGCCCTGGATTTAACTAAAGGATTTTTCATTTGTTCTTTCTTCTAAGCTACTCATTTTGGAAAAGAAAACTTTAGTGTTGGCATTTGTAGACTCAAAATAGAAAATTTTATTGCATAAGCAAATTCTTAAATGTATTCTTTTTTAATCATCTTTGATAAAGCTGATCATCTTTTCTTATAGTGTTGCTTAAAAATCTGAGAATTCTTTAGAATTTTCAATATTTGTTATTTATTCAGTTAAACAAATGTGTCAAAAGCATTATACTTGCTCATTTATTGAGGAAAATGATCCAAAACTATATGATTGTGTGTAAAAAAGGTATCTGATTATCAGTTCATTTGAAATGGAAATTAGACTCATTGTATCAGTCAATGGGATGATAATAAGGCATGAGTGCTACTTTATTTAAAGAACAGAAATTTGGGTATTCACTGTTAAAGCTTGATCTTCACTGGGAGATTTAGGAGTGTGTGTCACAAACAAAGAAAATTTGTGAATATTAAAAATATTTTTGATATTGTTCATATGGGCAAAGGTTAAAAAACTATTTCCAAAGAATAGGAGTGTACCAGTCCACTATCAGACAGATGTATAAATGCAGGCCATTCAACATCACTATTACCCTTATCAGGAATAGTCAACCAATTGCAACAAGAGCAATGTATGTAACAGTCAGGGGAATCTCAAAGGTCCCCGGGAGAAGAAAATGAAGGCCTCTCTTGCATTGTAAAATATCAATACCAACTGTAGAATACCAAAATATAATAGTGTGCGTGTCAGAGTTACAAGGTAAAAGCCACTATCCCACCAAAAAAACATTGCTGCCTGTCTACAAAATGTGAGTAAGCCAGAGGCTATTAGAAGAATGTTCTGTGGATTATGAAACCAAAATAGAATATTTTGGCTTGAATGAAAAGCATGTTTCATGAAAGTAAATCTATAGGAGAAGAAGAGGCAGTCTGAGTTAAGAGAGTCTAGAATCAATTCCATCTCCACAGCTTCTCCAAGGTCAATCCCCCTTGGATTTTGTTATGTCTTATTTAGCACTTATATTGTGCTGATCATTAGTTGACTAGATTTTTGTGTTTACTCTTAAGCAATGTCTTCTATCCTTTGCACCTGATAAATAGTTATTCCTGCATAAGAGGTTTATCTCATATGTGACAGAAGATGGTCGCTCTATCAAGGTTTAAGGCTGCTTTCTTAAGTCTGGATCAGGATGGCTTGCCATCATTATTGGTTCTATTAATTGGCATTTCAAATTCCCAGAGGTTGTGGGAGGAGCTGCTGACTGCTTATGAAGGAAGCAGAAAAGAAAGAGGCAGTTTGAATTGCTTCCCTTGCATTTCAAATTCCCAGAGGTTGTGGGAGGAGCTGCTGGCTGCTTCTGAAGGAAGCAGAGGGTGAGTAGAAAAGAAAGAGGCAGTTTGAATTGATTACATTGCATTTCAAATTCCCAGATGTTGTGGGAGGAGCTGCTGGCTGCTTCTGAAGGAAGAAAAGGGTGAGTAGAAAGGAGAAAGATAGCAGCCCACGTGCTTAACGGCGCACGAATCATATAACTATAAACCAAGAATACCAATAAGACCTTTAGGGTAAGTGCTCCTGAGATTGTGATTTTATTTTATTTCAAAATGACCGTCTTAGTTCAGTGTAATACTTGTTTTACAGCTGTCTTTCGTAGTACTCTTTTCAAACTTGGATACTGTCCTCTTTGTAAAAAAAATTACCAGTCTACATGGACAGATTACCTATCTAGAATCTCTAATCTGTGCTCTCCAAGCAGAAATTAGGTGCCCAATCCAGCCATCTATTGAGGTGCCATGCTACCAGCCCCCACTACCACAAAGATCCTACAGGAAAAGGGCAGTATGGACAACCGTGGGATCTGGCAGGGTGAGAGCTGTGGACCATAAACCCAAAGCTTTCGCTGTGTCCCAGCATAACAGATACAGTGCCCTTGCTGACCTTAATAGGGACATGAAAGTGACAGGTCAAGGTAGTTGTGATAATGATAACTCAAGTAAACCAGGAATCATGGTCCTAGAAGAAGAACTTACTTTGGAAAGGAGAAAGTGTGAATCAGGTATTACGCACCAGTCACACAAGAAGAGCAAGGCATCCAAAAAGAGAAGCCACCTTCTGGTCGGGGACTCAATTGTAAGGGATGTAAATTTAGGAAAGGATATTGACGTTTTGAAAGAGGTCAGGTGTCTACCAGGTGCTACTGCCAGCAGAGACAAGAAGGGTATTCTTAAGATAGTCAAGAATGCCAGCAAGGACTGTGATGTTGATGCTATTATACATCTTGGTACAAATGATCTATCCCAGAAGGATGTACTCTCTGTTCAGAAAGACTTCCAGAGCTTCGGGTATGAATTTAGTATTATGGGTTGTAGGCTTATCTTTTCAGAGGTTCTACCAGTATACAAGGAACAAAAAGGGAAAGGGCAGCGTGTAGCAGAGTTTAATGTGTGGCTAAAGGAGTGGTGTAAAAGGGAAGGCTTTGGTTTTATTAGTCATGATGTCTGCAGCTGGTCCAATGAAAAACTGTACAAAAGAGATGGTTTGCATCCATCAAAGAAAGGGACTGAGTTACTTGGCATTAAATTCACAGATTTCCTGGATAAACATTATCTTCATTAACGACTTAGATGAGGGAATAGAAAGGGAAGTTACCAAATTTGCAGATGATACTAAGCTGGCAGGAATAGTTAACACCCAAGAAGATAAGCTCAAGATCCAGATGGATCTTGACAGACTAGAACACTGGGCCATATCTAACAAAATGAAATTCAATGTAGAGAAAAGTAAAGTCCTACACTTAGGCAAGAAAAACCAAAAGTACACATATAGACTGGGTGAAATCAGGCTCAATAGCAGTAACTATGAGAGGGATCTTGGAGTTTTAGTGGACAACCAGCTAAATATGAGCCAGTGTGCAGCAGCAGCCAAAAAAGCTAATGCAATCCTAAATTGTATTAACAGAGGGATACAATCAAGATCAAGGGAAGTACTAATACCACTTTATAAAGCCTTAGTAAGACCACACCTAGAGTGCTGCATCCAGTTTTGTTCACCGCATTATAAAAAAGATGTTGAGACTCTAGAAAAAGTACAGAAAAGAGCAACCAAGATGATTAGAGGACTGGAGGCTAAAACATACAACGAGCAGTTGCGGGAACTGGGCTTGGCTAGTCTAGTAAAGAGAAGGACCAGGGGAGATATGATAGCGGTCTTCCAATATTTGAGGGGCTGCCACAGGGAGGAAGGGGTCAAGCTATTTTCTAAAGCGCCTGTAGGCCAGACAAGGAATAATGGATGGAAACTGAACAAGAAGAAATTTAACCTGGAATTAAGGAGAAACTTTCTGACAGAACAATCAACGAATGGAACAGCTTGCCCTCAGAAGTTGTCGGAGTGCCATCACTTGAGACTTTCAAGAAGAGATTGGACTGCCATTTGTCAGAAATGGTGTAGGGTCTCCCGTTTGGGCGGGAGGTTGGACTAGATGACCTACAAAGTCCCTTCCAACTCTGATTATCTGTTATCTGTTAATTCTTAATTGTATGTAAATTATACAGGAAAATGGCAGAGTATCTGTCCTTAAACTAAAGATCCAGAGAAAGTGGGTGATGCAGCAAGACAATGACCCAAAACACATGTGGTAGAATCAAAGAACGTTAAAGCAGAAGTTAAAGTTAAAATGTTTTGGAATGGCCAAGTCAAAGTCCTGATCATAATCTTACAGAAATGAAGTGTGCAGTTCATATAAGGAAGCTCACCAGTATCCAATTTGAAGCTGATTTGGGAAGGAGGAATGAGTTTAAATTTCTCCAAGTCAATGTGCAAGATTGATCATCACTTATCAGAAATAATTGCAGTTATTGCTTCCCAAAAGGGTATCCCAGTTACTGACAGCAAAGGTTCATGTACTTTTGCCACACATAAATCTATAGCTTTGGATGATTGTTCTCAAATCAATGAACAACTAAGTTTTTGACTCATTTATTTAATTTTAATTTATATAATTTAGCACAATATTGGAAATTCAAAAGGATTTAGAAACTTTTAAACACCACTATATATAACCAAAAATATATCAGCAAGATTTAGCATCTTAGCCGTCTGTTATTTTACATGCTTTAACTGACAAGTTGCTATTCTAAAATGCAAGTAAGTATACAAGCACAGGATTATTTTAACTGAAATACGGTATCTGATTAGCATTTAGAAACATTGGTATATAGAAATATTGCTGTTGTATCACCTATGTTTATTAACTTGGAAAAAACTTCATCATAAAATCTATAGTATGAGTTTTTAAATAGGGAATATAGCAAAATATTGCTCAAAACAGAAACCATTTCATGCCAATTAAAGGAAAGTAACCAGAAAGATATACTCATTATCTTTTCCATACACCTGTGTATTTATTTAGAGATCAAGGAAAGAGATATACATCTCCAAGAAATACTTATGTCAAGTAGGTGAAACCACACCTGTCATTTAATGCCTTCTGCTATATTATATTCTACATGTCACATATATGCTAAATGGTGGGTTAATTCAATAATCACAAATCAACTATCCCAAATAGTGGGGTAAGATTATTATCACATAATAAATGGTGATGAAATTCTGTCAGTTACCTTTTCTGTATATGGTAGTAACTGTGCTCAGTACCATTCAAATAGAGGACTGATGTGTTTAAATGTTTTGCTTACATAAACTATATTCAGGTTTTCCCTCTGCATTGTTTTTAAAGCAACACTTAATAATTATCCTATGCAATTATATAAAACAAATATGACCTAAACCATTCCATCATGTATTGTATAAATATATATCTGCACTGATGGAGTCACTGAAGCAGTCGGTGTGAGCTTAAATGGACCCCGGGAGATGGTAGAGTACAGGAAGGCCTGGA